CCCCAAAACCCCAAAACCCCAAAACCCCGTTAGATAGTAGATGTTCTTATACTATTGAAATAGTACTGGAAATTAATAAAATAACATCTATCATTTATTAACAATTTTATGAGGCTAGTTGGTAAAATTCCAATCATATTGTTTTCTACTACAGTTATTTAGATCACTCATCGCTATCATCATCTGGCAAAAATGGAGCTTTGTATTATTCTTTTCTTTGTTTCTTTTCATCCTTTACATTCATTTCAGTCTCTAGACTTTTCTTTATTTTTTTCTTTGGTTACTCTTATTTAGCTTAAGGCTATTACTTAGCATTTGCTTTCTTGGTGGGTTTAGCTACCTCCTCATCATAGGACCCATAATCTTCGTCATAATAACTATCTTGCTTTTTAGCTGGCTTTTTTTTATTATCATCTTTTTTCTGATTATCAACCTGCTTTTTATTGCTATTTTTATTGCTTTTCTCGTCTTTAGCCTTTTATTTCTTGGCCAATTTCTCCTTCTTCTTTCTCTCTTTTGCTAGCTTCTTTCTACGCTTTTCAAAGTCAGTTTCAGGGTCAAAGTCCTTGCAGCAGATATAGAACATTACTAAGAGAATAATAGCCAAACCTAGGACTGCTGTGATTATCAGGAAATACCAAAGAGCTGTTCTAGTTACATCAGGAGCGATCTCAGCTTAAAGCTATATCGTCATTCCACCTGGTGGGTAGTAATCGGCTGTGATATTATAGGTGAAATTTAAAGAAGGTTTTTCGACTGACGAACTACTTGGATAAGCAATAAGATATACGCTAGTGCTTTGATTCAAAGCAAATTTATAGGCAGTTTATATCAATAGATTGACTGTTTAATTAGTCGCATTCGTTCTAATTCCTTAAGCAATGTATGTAACAACGTTTGCTGCTCCTGTAATTATGACATTAATATAGACATCTGCAAGAGACACAGCTGGATGACTATCTTGGAAAGCTACTGGATCTATTAAGAATTACCAATAGCACACATCATCATTTACTAAGGACATAGTCTAATGCACACTAACAGTTTAATTCTTATTTAAGAGAGGCCTGAGGACAGATCCACTAGTTTAGCATACTGAAGTTCTTCTAGGGCAATAGGTATATTCCATAAAAGCTTTGCCCTCAACAATGCTTGAAGAACAGTATACATCTTTTGAGCGATCTTCTGTGCATTCAGGCGAAGTATTGCCCTGGGGACAGCAATATCCCTCGTTTCTAGTGTGAACACAGAAGAATGCATTCTAGTATTGATTGTAACACTCCTGCCTACATTTAGTAGTCTGATCTGGATCTGTAAGCTGTGAGTTAACTAGTCGAGCAGTGAAAAGAATAGAAACTAAGAGCAGTACTAAATTCTTAGCGATTATTCTCATTTTATTTAAATATTATTAATCTCCTATTCTTTTAATTTCCATTACTTATCAGAACCATTTATAACTAAACGGGGTTTTGGGGTTTTGGGGTTTTGGGGTTTTGGGG